ATCATGGAATTTTCTTTTAAATTTATTAAAATCTGAAAATATTCAACGTTTAAATCATCAATGGACAACAACTTTATATCGTTTACTTGAATTCAAACAAATAAAAAAGCAAAATAAATATTTACAACTATATCATCAAATTCAATTTACATTAAGTTCAAAAACTGATTCATCAATATTTCCTAAACTTCATGAACCATATCAAGAATTAAAAAATATTGTTGATACATGTGTTCGAAATACAACTGAAGAAAATCAATGGAATATTTTATTGAATTGGATTCAATTAAAAACTAATTCCTATCCTTATCAATTAGAATTAGAAGAAATTAAAGTAATGTTAATATTAAATATTTACTATGAATATTATTGTAATAATCAATTATCATCTATCAATACATTATTAGAAATAATTGAAAATAATTTACAATTATCATCAGAAGAATTACGAATTTTTCGTATTTTTCTAAAACCTGAACAATATATGATTGGATATCCAAAAGAAAATAATAATGATAAAAATTTTCTTAATGATTTATTCAAACTTGATTGTCAAGATGAATTTGAATTATCCTTACGTCATATGCTTGTCAATCTTATGGCAATGATTTTATTAGGTGGAAAACAATCTTTTCTTTGGACATTTATGTTTCAACCATTAACATTACAGAAGACCTATGGTAAATAGAGTTTATTCATTTTTTTCCTCTAAAATTTCTCGCAAATCATTTTGTGTTCAATACTTCTGCTCTGCTCTTTTTAACAAAAGACTTCTCGTGAAATTCTCTACACAATCGATCTAGTTTATTCAATGAATATAGTCTACTCTATTATTTCGAATCAAACGTTTATCAATACCATCTGCATTGTTATATGATTACTGCTCATAGATTCTACTAGTTCGCCTTCACAAAGTATTGTCGTTTTCGAAAAGCAGTATGTGTGACTATTTTTCAAATAACTTTTGATACGAACAACATAAACACTTGAGGTTTTTACCATTCGAGAGACAAGATTCTGTATCATCTATTTATGTTGAAATCTGGGTGTGTTTGGTGAAAGAGTCTGATCCAGACTTATATCCTCGATTGTTTATCCTGCGTAGAGAAAATTTCAAAAATATTAAAGTAGTGATATCAGATCGCTTTGAAACTGAAAATAAACATCGTCATTCAATTCAGCGTGATGGGTTATCACTGTTGTGGCCCCTTTCAAGGCTGATATGCTGAAATCAGAAGTTTACGAAAAATCCTTGTGACTTTTGACGGTTTTTTTGCTAATCGAAAGAGAATATCATCGCAGAAATCTTAACTGATTGGTCACTTGTTTACCAATCAGATTTCAACATACTTAGATGACCTAGGACCTTGTCTCTTAAATGACGAAAATCCCAGGTGTCCATGTTGTTTCTATCGAAAGTTATTTGAAAAACAGCCATGTACATTATTTTTCAAAAACGATAATAGTATATGTGAAACAACTTAATCATTCAGCCAATGCGGCTCAGATCAGATCTAATATCGGATAATAGCCAGCACATCACTTTTTCTTCAAAAGATATGTATAGAACTTAATACTATCCTCTTAGAAATGAGTTTTTAAAGTTTAGTGCTCTTGTTTTTACGAAGATATGTTGTTTGAAGATAAAGTTATCATGCTAATTCGTTTTGCCTCTTACATATGCGCTAGATAGGGCCGCTTTAGTTGATATTAAACCCAGAATTGACGAGCTCCTTTTGAGAATGTGGATATAAGCTTTAACTCGATGAACTCTAGCATAAGAATGAATTTCTTCTTATGTAAACAAAGTAAAGCAATAACAAAATAAATTATCGTGAATGAGTGAGCTGATATTGAATATCATTGTTAACATATATATATAGACTGGTTAAATACAAAAGAATTTATCATTAAACATTGTTTATAATTAGGATTTGGATCAACTTCACGACATACCATTCAATCACATAGTGTTCATTATGATTGTGGTTGTATTATTTCACAAAATGGTGATTTATTACAATTTTCAAATAGAGGATATGAAAGTGCACTAAATGTTCCAGCAGTTTATGTTGTTTTCTTTTCAACATTCGGTGCTTTGGTTAGTTTTTCGAATTTGATTATTTCTTTTTTCTATTACATAATTTCCCCTATTATTAGGCATGGCATTTATTATTATTTGATGAATCTGTCCAAAATTTACATGTACCAATTCTTTCACCAACAGCTATTGCTGATAATGCATCAATCTATCATCTTGGTGGTGATAATCTTCGAGCTAAAGTTTGTTCTTTTGTTTGTACCAGATTATTATCAACATTTCATTTTTTAACAATTCAATCAAATCTCAATGATGCTTGTATTCTTTTGACTCATTGTTTTGAACAAATGTCATTTCTTACACAAACACGAAACTCATGGATTAAACCTTTATATACAACAATTGATGATCAACTTCAAGCTGAACAAGAATATAATGATAACGTATTTTATTTTGTTTATAATAATCTAGTTCATTATAAATCGTATATTAATCAATTAAATTCACAATCAGAAATACAAATAAATCTTCAAAATTTTATCGATCAAATGCCTATTGTTATTCAATTTCAATATTTTAAAACTGAATTATATCGTTTAAAAAATTCTCAAATATCTCTTAAAATTTTACAGCATACTATAAATTCTTTTTCATTTTTAAAAATAACAAAATTAATATATGATCTTAGTCAATTTTATCTTCTTTTACATCAAACTTATACACAATTAATTGAACAAAATGAATTTTCAACAATAACATTAAAAGAATTGTTTAATCGAAGTCAAAAATGTTACAATCATTCTTATTATCAAAAATATAAAAATCAAGATAAAACACATCAATCAATTATCGATAAAGGAATACAAGCTGTTAATATTTATCATCAATTTACTAATGGTTTTATTCGACCAGGTGCTTGTGAAGAAATTCAACATTTTTCAACAATTTCATTCGATACACCAGTAAATTATTTAGTTACAAATGAAAATCATGATGAAGGCGATATTATTATGCGTATACTCAGGTTAATTCATTTATAAAAACAAAAATATATATACTTCTGAATCGTTTGAAAATCAAATTATTTTTAGCCTTGTGTATAACAGACGGAGGCTCATAGGATCACAAATTAGCCCATTAAGAATTTCTCTATAAAACATACTCAGATATCAGTAGAACATTGTGTCGAGTCGTTTGGTGACGTTTTCAAATGAAGCGAAATTTTTTACAGTCGTGATGGATCATTCGAAGGTTACTAGCTAAAATAGACTTATTACTCTGTATTAATTTATGTTATTCGAGACTGTGCATACATCAGTAGAAAGAACGCATAAAACTGCACAAACATATACATAAACCATGAAAACATCACGTTTCTTTGAGAAAATTTTCCAGTAGGTTGCTAAGTAATTGTTGCCGACATTGTAGATGATCATTCTCTTCTATTGTCACTTTACAACACATTCATTTATATACCAATTGATAGCCTTTTTGAAGCTCGGCAAAATGATACTATTCTATGGAAAGAAAGATATTGAATATATATGCACACAACCATCATGGGCACAAAAACTCCTCAATTTTTGACTCAAAATTGGTTGGTATCATTTAAAATGACTTGACTGTTATGAATTTGATGGAAATATAAAAGAGACTATGAGAAACGAGTAACTAATTTTCAAAACTAAAAAAAGTATATCTTGAAACAATAAAAACTGTTTTCGTAGAATTCATTTTTTGGCCCATTCCTGTGAGGGATCACGGTCAAAATTATTCGAGAAAAATGAAAGTCATCAAAATTCTTCGTGAAAGATATAAATTGATTCAATCTTTTACGTTGATTTCAATGATCTCATATTTTTGAATAACAATCAAGTCATTTTAATCGATATCAACCAACTTTCAGTCAAATGTGGGTATGTGCGGGACGATGTTAATATAAGAATTATCCTTATTTCCACATCCCATATGAAATTTTCGTTAGAACAACAGATCGCAGTCACCATCAATTTTTAAAGTGTTTTACGGAAATTATTTTGTCCTATATAACTATTATCAGAGAACAAAACGTCTCCATGTGTTTCGTTGATAATCACAGATCGATAGCTGTCTTCTTGTAGACTTCTATAAGGAGTCTCTATGAACGGTGAGGGTTATCCCTTCTGCTTCGAATATTTTGATGTATCAATTTTCTCTGATTTTGAAGAAATACAATTTTTGAGAGAAAGCAGATTTAAAAGACAGTGCGGAAATATATCGATCTGATGACAGATAGTCTGAAGCGATCGGAACCATGATCACAATGAGTTTCGTTCTTCTCTTCAAGTAACAACACTTTTTACCGAATTTCGAATTTGATGACAACAGGAATTTTTTCGACTGCTTTTCAGATTTTTCGATTGATTTCTTCGCACCCTTCTGATCTTAATAGACTCCCAGGATTTTTGGAAGATCTCTTTGACGAGAATTGACCGGAGTTGTGTGCTCAATTCACTCTATTGTTAACTGAATATCATGCATCGATACAATGCTCATTATTAAATGATTATACAAAATAAATTTCTTCATTCTTTTTAGTGTCTTAATTGATTATCACAATAGTATGTTAGACTTGATGGAAAATGAATCGAATAATAATCAGACTCATAATGTTAGTTCTTTGAGAAATTTAATGAAGGAATTAACATCAAAACATGTCTCGATTTTACAAATTGCAAATGATAATACTGGTGTTATTAGTTTAAATGAAAAAGATTTTCTATGGATTGAACAATTATCTCAGGCAAGTCTTATTACTAATGAAGAACAATATTTCATTACATCAGATTCACGATTAACATTTGATTTTGCCTATATTCAATCGCAGATTATTCGAATATATCTTCTCTATTGTCGTATTAACTATCGTCATATTATTCAAAAATATCAATGTCATACAAAAGGAATAAAATCAATAACAAATATTGAACATTTAGATCTCGATGAAAACTATTTAGTTCGACTAAATGTTGATCAAATTGAAAATGAATGGAACCACCTGAAAGATATGTTATTAGATAAACTTTATCAATCTCATAATCTTCTAAGACAAATAGCATTAACATTAAAAAAATATTCAAATAAACTATCATCAATTAATCTCTTCGAATTTGTCAGAATGACCGATCATGATAATGATATTCTTCCACGATTAGAACAATATGAAATAAAAGATTTTCAATTATGTTATATAGATCATGTCATTGAAATCTATGCAAAATCTGTTAGTGGATTTCAACATTTGTTTACAGACGTATCAGCTCTACTACGAGTATCAATTGATAGTCAATTAAATAATGAAATCATTCAAAAATTTAATGAAAATATAATAAATATCGATTATAAGAATGATATTGATGAAATTCAAGAAAAAATTCAAACAATTACAGAATTTCTTAACGAATTAAAAACAATTGAAGATACTCTTCTTCAACAATCTACACAATCATTGATCGAAATATGTCAATATTTATCAATCGATAGTACACTTCTTTCATTAATACCATATAGAATTAAATGTGAAAATTATGTTGATCTTTATATTCATTTAATTCGTACAAGATCAAAACTTCAAGAACAAAAACTTAATATTGAAGAACAAGAAAGAAATTTATGGAATGAAGATTTTAATTCAGAATCTGATAAACAAACATTGAAACAGAGACAAAATAATAATGATTCACATAATTGGGAAATTTCTATGACCAATATAAAAAAATCAACTGTTGATTTAACGCTTGAAAATAATTTATTCGATATAAATCAACCATCAATGAAATTATCTAAAGATGACTCAGATACCGATATCGAATATACATCTTTAATAACATTAAATTTAAAAAAAGTTCCATATACATCATCAATATTCATTCAACAAATACATAAATATCGAGAAGAATTACCCACACCATCGATTACTGTAAAATCAATCCAAAAAATTACTATTGTATGTCCAAATGGTGAATTGAAAACATATATCTCGAAACCGGAGAAATTTTGCGAAAAATTAAATAAATTATTTGAAAAACAATATGATTATAATTTATTTGTTGTTGTCGATAAAAATGAAATATTTGTTGATTTTACAAAGAATAACTATTGTTTACCATATGAACCACTTTTAAAATATTATATTATTGAAAAACAACTTCTAATTCAGATTCAAATTCAATTTCGAGCACAAATATATGAATATTTCACTACATCAAAATGCACTATTTCAACTATCATTCAACATTTTATTGATGATAATCAGTTGAAAAAATTATCATCAGATATTATTCTTTGTTTCTATGATGAATATGGAAAATGTATTAATGATGGAACTATTAGCGATGTTTTTAAAAAGGATCAAAAGATTATTTTGATTTTTGTAACAGAAGAAACATTGAATACCAGTTTTCTATATGAATTTGTTTTACAATCCAATACAGGTAACCAAAAGAATACTGTTAGAGCAATGTTGGCGGAATTAACATGTGAAACACGATTGTAACTATTCTGGAGGTTGTCTGTCACGGTCTGTGAAGAGAGATTCAAAAGTAGTGATGCTATATGTCATGCTCTATTTCATCACTTCTCAACCAATATCATTATAATGAAGTTTCGATAAGCACTGTCTTTCTGAGATATGTGACAATTATATTAATGCAGATTATGGCGAGTGAATCTTTTTTGAAAGAAACAAAATAGAGATGCATTGAATTCTTATATTGTAGATTTTCCTAATATTTTGTCTAATGTTTGTTCAATAAATTTTCTAAATGTCAAAAAAAATTCGTTGCTTATCAGCAAAAAAAAAGAAAACACAATTTTTCACGGACAATGCTAGAAAACAGGCTAACGAGGGAATCTTTTGAGGGGTTCCATCGCTGTTGACCTGCTATTTTGAGCATAGGTAGGGCACTACGAGATTTGAATAGCTGAAAGAGAATTTGTGCCCACGAACATTATTTTTTAACCAATCCTTGTGACCCCCCTCAGGTCACCTTGAAAATCGATTTTCGACTGTTGATTTGAAACTTTGCACAACTGAAACCCTTCATGAGATTAATTCATGCCAAAGTTTCATATCTTTGAGTTACTTCTATCGTTAGAGAAGAATATTACAAAATTTTGTTTTTATACTCATTTCTGACGATAGAAGCAACTCAAAGGCATGAAACTTTGGCATGAATTAATCTCATGAAGAGCTTCAGTTATACAAAGTTGCGAGTCAAAACTAAAAAAAAATATGTCAAGGTGACCTGAGGGGACCACAAGCAAGGATTGGTTAAAAAATACATTAAAATTTCAATATCTCTTGACCAAAGACCCATGTACAACAATCCTCTTATAGTTATTCTAGTCTCGCAGTGGCCTACCTATGCACAAAGTAGTCGGTCAAAAGCGATAGGACATCTCAAGAGGTACCCTCGTGAGTGTTTCAACTATAATTTCTATAACACCTGAATGATTAATTCTAAACATGTGAATCTTGTGCAGTTTTGTAAATCTTCCTTTGACAATTCCCTGTAAACACTTGACAGGTTAAGTTTGCTTGCAAAGAGGTCAATTGAAAACATTCCAAAAAGGCATTAAATGTACGATTCGATGCATTTTTATCTTCTCTTTCGAGCATAAATCTGGGAAAAATAGTTCTTATCGAAATTTTATTATTATGATATTAGTTGAAGAGTGATGGAAGGGAGCATTGTTTTCTCTAACACTACATAAAAAAGAAAATTTCTTCAAACTTCCTCTACGAAAATAAGATTATAGTACCACTGCTTTTGGATTGCCCTAAGTATTTCAACACTCATTTTAGATCGTGTTTCACAAAAAAAAATATATTATCCATAGAATTGATATTTTCTATTTGATAGATCAAAATCAAATAACGAATTTATTTTATCCAACAACAAAATGGAAACAAATTAATCAATGGTTAAAAAGTCTTTCATATACAATTGATCCTTCTGTTCATGGTTATGCCTTTTTAATACGAGAAAAGAAAAAAATTATTGATAATAATCAAACTATTTCGTCAACAATAGATCATACAGAATCAATGATAATCGATATTATTAATCAAAATCTATTAACTAAAGTTATATTCACTTTTGAAACACGTAGTCAATCTATTTATGCATTAAAATCTATGAAGATTTCTTCTTTATTAAATAATGAAAATATTCTAGAGAAGTTAAATTTAACTGATATATTTTCTGATGATTTTCTTCTTGTCTTGAAAGAAGCAAATGAACAAATTTTAACAAAAGATGATCTTAAAAAATCTATAGGTATTTATTCGACTATTGAAAATCAATCGATTCATTTTCAAATATTGATTACAATACAAATAACAAAATACGATGATAAAGAACAAATAAAATTACATTTATCAAATAGAAATATAACTATGGAACAATTATTACATTTAACAGAAAAATCAATCGATATTTACAAATATTTCGCTAGCATTGATACGAAAAGAATTATTAATTCTAATGAAATGCTTTCGAATTTAAATAAGACTAAATTTATTCTTGTTAAAGAGAATGAAACTTGTCTTGTATCGATTAAGAAATCGAATGATTTACAATTGATCAATATTAATGATGAAGAAAATCAGCAATATCAACGATTTACGAGTTTTTCTACTATCGCGGATATTAATAAAGAAATTCGACTTGATATTTTACATCAATATCTTCTATATTCAAATGATTTTGTTCCATCAATTAACATTCAATTAATATCATTTCAATCAGAATCACCAATTCAGTTTATCGTAATCGATCAAAATTTACCAGCTACTGTTACTATACAAAATAGTGAAGAAAATAAGTCAATTCATTTCAATTGTAAACTTTCAATAACAATAAAACGTCTTCATGAGATTGCATGTCAACTATTCGGCGTGAATGCCGAGTTTTATTGCTTAACTATGAAAGATGCTATATCAATCGATAATGATATCTCTCTAGAAGATTTTGAAGAAAGCATGACTGAATTTCAATTTCAAATGATTTCTACAGCATCTTTATATTGCTCAATCAGGTATTATGATCAGAACGTTACATTACCATGCCGTCAAAGCACACTTATTACGACCATAGTTAAAGAGACATTACAAAAATTACACGTATTAGAAGATAATATCAATATGTATGAATTAATAGTATTGAATGACACTCGTACACAAATTTATTTCGATTTATCAATAGGTGAAATCCTTGAATTGTTTTCTATGGATTTAACGACACTATCACTTGAATTAAAAAGAAAATGAATGAAACAAATAATATACATTGCAAAATATATGCAATTTTCACTTAACTGTCATTTAGCTCAGAAAATTTTTAAACTCTACAATTACTTCGAAAAATTTTTAATAACAAAAAATTTATTGTATAAGAATTCTGTAGAATTTTTTTATATTCAATAGAATTGTTTCTTTTGATTTTTATTTGTTTAAATGAACTGATGATGTTTTTTTCCAGGGTGCCGGTATTGATGAAAAGAAGACCATCAGTTTTAGTCATGTACATCCTCATGTTCACACATATCAATCGTAGCTAAACCCCTAAAATCACACACTGTAAAAAAAAGGTGTTTTACGAAACCAAAAAAGGATCTGACCGCGGGCATACTGTCAGATCCTTTTTTGGTTTCGCACAAATGGTTTCATACAATACCCTTCGAGCGAGTAGCGGAAAAAAGATTTCATCAAAATGGTTGCGCACAAAACCTTTCAAGGCATATTCATCTAATGAAGGAGCCCTTGGAAATGATAAATCGTTTTAGAGTGGAGCCTCTGCGCATAAGGTTGACTTCGGTGAGATAAGAAAAACCCCTGAAGGATGCCTTTCATTAGCTCTTCCCTCGAAGGTTATCCTTGTATTACTAGAATTTTAGTTGAATGTTAACGAGGAACCCTATGTAGCTGTCAAGTTAGTTTTGAGTTCGAGCTCTGTGTGTCAGATAGATCTGAGTGAAGTATGAATAACTCTAAATGAACGAAGACTCGTAAGTCTTCATTCGAAAGTTATAGCCATTTTCCTTGAATTTTAACCTATAGTACTATAGATATCAGTAAATTGAATGAGAGTATTTCTATTTAAGATTTCACGGACAAAACAGTCTATTTATGAGAAGAATGTTCCAAAAGTGTTATCTCAAAAGAATGCGTCTTTTCCAGAGATACTAAAGTCAAACAATACCACTCGTATCTCATGAAAGATGATGCAATGTTGTATTTTTTGTGAACTTTAATATCTCTGAAAAAGACGCATTCTTTTGAGGTAAAACTTTTGGGACATTCTTATAAATAGACTGTTCCGTCCGTGAAATCTTAAATAGAAATACTCTCATTCAATTTACTGATATCTATAGCACTATAGGTTAAAATTCAAGGAAAAGGGCTATAACTTTCGAAAGAAGACTTCTGAATCTTCGTTCATTTAGAGTTATTCATATTTCACTCAGATCTATCTGACATACAGGGCTCGAACTCAAAACTGACTTGGCAGCTACGTAGGATTCTTCGTTAACATCTAATGAAAGGCATCCTTCAGGAATTTTTCTTATCTCACCAAAATCTACCTTATGCAGAGAGGCTCCACTCGAAAACTATTATTTACATCAAATCTGTGAATAGGCCCTCCTAAAAAAACCACCAGCCAAAAGCAATAAACTTACTTTCATATCAAAATTGCGAACTCATCCATAACAAACAAATAATCAGTTCTTTAAGCCAATAGTCTAACATGACAATCAAGATCTCACTCGACTCTGAAACACAAAAAGAATCATTTGTTGAACGAAATAAGCTTACTCCTAAATCAGAAATTGGCATCGATCTATAACAGAAATAATACAATATATTTAAAGAAGTAAACTTACATTTAAGTATCGACTGAAGATCAAACCGAGCCAGACAAAAAACCAAACATTAACAGAATAAGCTTGCCGTTAAATCAGAATTTGGAATCAATCTATAATAAAAATAAAAAATTTGATATAAAGAGAAAAAACTTACTTCCAAATAAGTGGCCACGATCAACCTAAATAAAGATAATATTCAATCGCATCAAACTACACGTATCATTAATCACACAATGCACGATCTAGTTGATCTTCCTCCACATGACTATCCACGACCTAGCCAATACTCGTCGTTAGAATTATCGATACTCTAACCACCCCTGGTTCTGGCAACTATGCATGCCCTAACCTGGGTGTGAGTGGGCGTAAAAGTAAAGAGAAGACCCACACCCATCCATGCTGACACCCATACATACCCACCCACACCCTCAAGACGATAGTTTTGATGAAGAAGATGGATATTCCGATGACAATAACAATGGAGACGAATTATTCACCACAAAAACAAATTTCTCCGGTATACGCCTATTTTATTCGATCAATCCACATCTACAACACTCTTATTTTAAAATTTATCTGAACAATAGTATCAAATACATGCACAAACAAACAGCATTTTGGTTTCTAACTGACAAAAACAATCAATTGTCATCTGATCGTTTAAAGAGAGTAAAAGAAACAAATAGACAAGAACAAGAATACCAAAAAACAATATTATTATCTTCTCTTTACTTAGTGTTGTGTAATAGATTTGTTGTATTAAAACATTTTTTGCAATTGCGTTGGACTCCTGACATTATTTTTGCACTAATGAGCCAAAAAAATCATCAAGAGAGAGAAATCTTATAACTTGAAACGATGGAGTCGTGCTTGAAATTTAGCATTTCTAAGTATTTTACGTATTTTTGAAATACAGAAATACTTAGAAATAAACTTTTTCCCCTTGAGAGTTCTTTAATGGTGCTTGAATTATTACAACAAAATACAAAATAATAATAAAATTTTCTGGGCTATTAAATCTTTTCTTTCATTTTTATAAACGTCATTGTCAGTTGCTTTAGCGTTTTTTGATAAGAAAAATAAAAATAAAATTATTTTATTATAGGCAACAAACTCTCAAGACATATTTTGATTAAATACTGGGATCAAGGAAATAGCAGCGCGGCCAGCAATAAAGCTGATGAATACGTGAAGAAGGGTGTGGGTGTGGGTGTGAGTCTGCGTGATGATGAGATTAGATCAGCACACACATCCACACCCAAATACATGACGCGTAGAAAATGCTGCATCATTGAAGACAACAGATGCAAATAAACATTTCAAATAAGTGTAACTTGACTCACTTTTATTATTCGAATTGGCCAAGTAATTAGTAGCACAAAGATTATTTCATCTTCAACTGAAAATCAATTTTAAACTCGAGTTACGAGTTTACAGCGTTCATATTTTCAAAGCATTTTGTCTCATAGAAAACTGCATTCAATTGAAATTACTTTTTATCTATTATCTAGGAATGGTTTTGCTTCTAATTGAAAACGTAATCCATTGCGTAAAATCATACGTTTATTAAATGCACCTTTTTTACTGTACAATGCACTGTAAAAAATGAGCGCAGAATAATAAACCCTCAAAAAGGGTTTATGACCATGGCATAAACCATTTTTGAGGTTTTATTATTCTACGCCCATTTTTTAGTGTGGTATTAGAAGTGTAATGTCTAAAAGTGATAAATAAGGGTTTGAGTGTGGCAGCCCCATCAGATAAGATCCATACCTCTACCGCAAGTTTTAAATTTAGGGAAGGTTATGCACACATAGCTTAGAGTATTTTAGTCCAGTTTCAGATCTGAGTGTGGGTGTGGGTATGGATGTGAGAGATTAGAATACCAACACCCACACATCCACACCCTATTGTTCAACATATGTTATAAAAATCGAAAGATTATCTAAAAACAGCCCTAACCTAAATTTATTTTTTATACAAGAAATAAACAAATGAAAACAAAAAATGTTGTACTAAATATCGATCTATGTTTTTAATATAAGTTTTTTTTGTAGGATGTGTTTTGATTAATAAGATCACGTACTGGTTTATTTTCAGGAAATTCACTTGTAAACATCACACCAAGCCAATAAATGGTATAAAATCCAATTATTCGATAGATAAAGAGTCGATCTTAAAATTGACTAGAGAAAAATAAAGAGAATGTTCTTCTTATTTTTATACCAAGAATTCTTATGTAAAATCTTAAGTTCATTACAAAGATGTCATTAAAAGAATTTCCGCAAGTCTTGACACAGCAAATACTATAATACTCCTTTAGACATCAGTTGAGATATATCAACTATGTATATCTAACAGAACCCGAAATGAGTAAGAAAATCTCAGTTCGACTCATAGCGAAAACCAGAGAATTCCTTCCTTGTCATGAGTAAATTGTGTCTACATCTCGCATAGTGTTTCACTTAATTTTTCGTGAGTCTATATGCTAAATCTATCGATTTAGAGAAATTTGGAACCTTCATAAAGGAACTAAAGTATATATTAGGAATCTAATGATACTGGAACTTAAACTCTTGATTTAGATTAGTTTTGAATCTTTAGATCCGAAATTACCATTCTTGTAGATAAATACATACTTTAGTTGATGTTTCTTGATTGACATTAGCGACTATGTTATATCCTAATTCAATAAGAATAACGAGCCATATTAAGAACATAATACTAATAATAAAAAGTTCAATGCTCGTTTTCTTTTGCCACCATTTGTATGAGTTTCTTCCTGAAAATTTCAGATAAAAATTATTCATTATTTCAAATGAACTGGTATATATTCAATTATTCTACTTGCCTTCAACATAATAGTATTTTACGCAGGCCAGAAATATAAATTGAACAGCAAACACGAGCAAAAAGCTACTAATTAACCATACAACAATTGTAAACGAGTAACTTGTGAACATTATCATGAAGCAAAATAGGCATTGATATCGATAAAGAAAAGCCTAAAGTTAAGAAACTCTACCCTTGATTTTAACTATACTTTATCCTTACATCACTAGATATATTATCCAAATATTGATCACATATTTCTGTCAGTCCACAACTAATAACAGTAATGATAATAATGATAACAATCCATCGTAAAAGTTCGATTGTGTCACTCCATTCTGATTTTGGATAAAATATTCGAATAAACGAGCTTTCCTAAAATACCGTCAGCAACAGATTAACAGTGTTGAAGTTGAAACTGAATTCTTTTTTTTTCAATTTACTAAATAGTCTAGTTTCTTCTAGAGGTCAGTAATATAAAGTGATGAACATTATGTTAAAATACTTTTAGTATTTTTCAATTTTTGGATCAATGATTTTATTTCGAAAAAAATTAAAACATACATCAATCAATGCAAAATTTTATGCTGTACGGTTTGAAAAGGAAACTTTTGATCTGCCATCGAACTTCAGTTTTAAAATTCGATTTTTATCTGTGACAGTGAATAATGGTATTGAAAAATAAGTAATTCAATTAGCCTCAATACCAATAAGTGCATGAAAAACTTAACAAAAAACATGTCATTTTTATGCAAAAAAATTCTATTTGCGAGTAGAGTTTTGAAAATTTTCCTTTGTGACAAGTCATCGGTTTCCGAACTTAATATTTTTTTTCTAGCAAAAACCAAGTTTTAAATTTTAAATTTATATTAGTCTTTCATAGAATTAAATTCGCTACAATACCTATAAAAAATGATGCGTCGGAAATACGTTTAGTGCTCACATGTAAGCTTTAATAATATATACTAGAAAAAAGTGCCATCTATCATTCTAATCGAATTTCGCTTATTACTTTCGAGCGATCGAACACAGAAAGCTGGAACGGAAGACATACCATTTTGCAGAGAAAACTCTCCTCTACCTCCTTGAGTCTAACTACAATACTTATAAGTAAAATACGATGAAAATGATACATAGCACTTTTTTCTGATATATACTATCGAAATTGACATGTGTTCACTGAAAGTATTTCCGATAGACCATTTTTTATAGGTGTCGTAGAAAAATACGGAGAGTCTCACCTTGTAGACAATTTTATTCTATGAAAAACTGATATAACTTGAAAATTTAAAACTTGGTTCTTGCTAGAAAAAAAATTTTCAAACTCCACTCGCAAACAAATTTTGTCTGATTAAAAGTCTCATGATTGATTGAAGTACTAATTTTTCAATACCATTATTCACTGTCATCGATAAAAACCAAATTTTCAAACTATCGTTCGATGGTAGATCGAAATTTTGTTTTTCAAAATATAGAGTACAAAATTCTGCACTAATTGATATATGTTTCATTTGTTTCAAACAAAATCACTCAGTCAGAAAATGCAAAATACTAAAAGTATTTTAAAATTATATCCACCACTTTATTTCATTCTTATGCTTATAAACCTGTTTGTGTGATTGAGTTTTTTGTTGATCGACATGAAATGTTTTATCCTGATTCATATTTGGTGTTTTGGCTTGAATCGTCTTTGGAGTAGTTGCAGTGCTTGTTTGCATCGCGTTCCAAGTAATGTATGGCGAAATGGATGATATCCGCACGTATTTATATATGTATGTCAGTGAATAACAATGTAATCAAGACCACTAACGGATAGACATATCGATGAATCATTTTCTTCCAACGAAGAACAATTTGATAGAAAACACCGTGCACATGTATGATGTCAATCGCATGACCTAGCCTAATTATCTTTTCACGATTGTTTTGCTTTATCTCGTTCATCATTACATGATTATAGTCAGTCTTATGTATTCAGTTGCTCAAGTTTTCCAACAAAATAAAACATCTTTTCATCATAGCATATATTAATTGAATAGAATTTTTTCAGATTGTTCTGAAATCATATAAAAATTATTCTGTTTTTTTTTTATGGTATTTTACAGCAAAATATGTTTAGTCACTTTTACAAATATATTATTCTATGTAATAATTCATAAATAATAATCCAAGACACCGTACGATTTTGTAATGTTCTCAAATGCTTTTCTATCATTGAAGTTTGTTCGAAAGAAGTGTGATTGGATTCTTAAAAATGATAAATCAGAAATCGATGGTGGCAAATCAATTAGACCACTTACATTTATTTGACATGAATGTTTCACTCAATATACATAGGAGACTACAAAAGTTTTTTCGTCCGACTCTTCTAAAGTTGTATCTCGAGGTCAAACTTTCTCTTATAAAGCATAGAAATATTTAGAATTATGTGAAAGATCTCAATCTTCCATGCCTTGCACAGCGTCTTATTCTTGCATTTCTTTCAGATCACTCATATATCGTTTCGAACACTAATTTTATGTGAACAAAATATAAGTTAAATTTATATTACAGCTATGTCCTATTAAACTTCAAATCAGATAGTTCGTAATAGACTTTCTTGAATTTCAACCAAAAAAAATTATTTTGTCCGTTCAGGTTATCTTTTAGCTGCTGTTTACATAGAAACAATTGATGCGCTTCGAGTAATAATTGAAGATAATTCTCACTGAGCATATAATTCAATAGAAGACACCCTGAACCCTATTTCGTCAGTAATTATTTCATTTATTCTTATATATCTAAAATTCTAGGGAGTCGGTGTGGGTGCGGGTGTGAAGAGAAGATCCACACGCACTCGGACACCCGCACCCACACCCCACACACACATCCTCCCACACGCCCACGCCCACACACACCCACACCCACACCCATCTATTCTATCACATTTCGATGTAATTTGTTATCGAATTCCATACATTTAATGTAACAATCATATATTTTATTTAAAAAAGAGAAATATTCGAACGAATTATTTATCAAAATTTTTGTATGTTATTGATGAATGTGAAGGATTTATGAAAAAATTCTTTGTTTTTTTTAAATATTTTCTTCTTTGAAGCAAATGAATAAATTGATATTGTTTATATTAAATAAGAGAGTAAATGAGAAATGATAAAAAGTCGATTGAGTTGCATTATAGATAAATAAAATCTGAAAAGAAAATCGAATTAATCAACAATAAATAATTATATTAGAATATCATTTGACAAAATCATAAAAAAAAACTTCTTTTCTATTGAATCGATTAATTACTAATAATTATATTTTCGATTTTGATTTATACCAAATAAGTCTCGTCGAATTTCAGGTAAGATATTATGAAATATTATCTCAAGACGAGCTTCAATTGTATTTGATAAATAGATCTTATCATCCATTCCATAAAGCTCAACACCACCAGCTCTACAAAACAACAACAAAAAACAAACGCTGCATTAATATTAATTGAATACTATTTTATTATTTACAAATCATCAGATAAGAAACTTTTGTCATCAACTGTAACTTGAATATTAATTTGTTGCAAAACTCGTTTATATCGTCGTATTGAATCAGGAATAAGTCGTTGAACAAGACCATAATCATCTTCTCGGCATTTTATTCTAATATTTTCTTCCATAAGTACAAAAAGACCTTCTGTTATCAGATTCGATAGAATATATATATATTTCGATCGATTTTTTGTTAATATAGATAATTGTTTTCGAGCTTCTTCTTTTAAAGCTTGAACATAATCATCACGAGCTTGTAAATTTAAAAGTCGATTTGCATTAGCTATAATTGAATGATGAATTTTTCCTTTTAATTCAATTTGTTTTTCTTTTTTATTATAATATTCAATTATTTTAATATGTTGTTGAGATACTAAACGACTTTTTTCTATATTAAATTCTTCTTCAGTTTCTACTTCAATTTCTTCAATTTTTTCAGCTGCTTCATGTTGAATAAATGAAATCATATATTGAATCTAAACAAATATTTATTTATTTATTTATTTCAATGAAGATTTTTGTTTTTCTAAGAAATCAAACAAGCAAACCTGTTTATTAGCATCATCGTCATTGAAATTCATCTTTAATCAATAATGACATTCGAAAAAGAATATTTTATAGAAAAGAAAAATCTTTTCAAAATGCATAAATTGAATTAGCAAATCAATTGAAATGGTATCAGCTTGATCATTTAAATGTTATCTTCATACTATCTATTGGTTTATATAAGTGAAAAAGAACAAATTTTTTTTTATTCATATTGATTATATTATTATCATTGATTACGAAATAGAAAACATCAGAATTCCTTTGATATAATCAATATTTGACAGATTATATTCATGACGTACAAGTGTTGCAGAGTAAACTAGGGTAAGAGTAAAAGAATAAAAGAGTCTTAGTGCCGATCTACATATGAGTTATTATTCACTATTTTGATATTCTCATAGGACTAAAGAAAAACAATTATTTTTTACAATAGTAAAATATTTCTCATTAATGGATTGATAAAGGAGAAACTATTTAACCATATAATAGGATTAAAATGATAAGAAAGACTATTGATCTATTGTTGATCATCTTCTCTATGATTTATTTACTTGATTTAGTATTGTGAATTAGAATCGATTTATTCTTTATTCACATCTATTTATACTGATTGACTTGCGATAGTAATGTAGTTTTCATTTCACCTAGTATTATTGATTTAAATTCATTTAGTGATTCATTTGAGATAGAATAAGGATATGAGAAATTTTCTCAGACAAGGTATAGGATACAAAAAAAAAACTTACCAGCGACACCTCTGTCATGAAGCCATTGAAATATATGTGATTGATATTAGTTATTATTTTATTTTATTTTTGTTTAACTGATAATTAATCTCAATAAATAATTAAATCTATTCAAATCATTTGGCTTCTCACATCTTCAAAAATCAATTTATCTACTGTTAGAATTGTCAATTATACAATTTTATTTTGATACTAATTGCTATCTTCATATAGTAAACAAAAAAATGTCCATTGTTTTTGTATTTGACGATCGAGTATAAAATAGATTTGATTATGAATCCAACTTAGTCTAAGATCATATTCGATTGAATAATAGTAGAATAAATGTCACTCATTTCGTATACTTGTCTCGAATCGATTACTCTTCATTTCATCTATATTTCATCAACAAAACGATCTTCAAAAAAAAAAAAGTAAAATGTTGCACGTAAAAACTGTCAATTAACTATAATAGAGGATGTTGCATGAATATGGTGTATAACAGATCAACGTGTCAAGCAATGAAAAAAGAGACAAGATTGAGAGTCTATTTTAAAAAACTAGCTCTTTATTTTATTAAGGAAAATCAAAATAATCCGACAAATTGATAATGCTCGTCTTTTTTCGCATAATTATTACTAGCGAGAGCCCGTACATACTGCACAGCTGTTTTCTCCTTTCATGTATGATCCAATACGTTTAATTTTTCAGTCAAGAGTAGACATACAGTCATTCGATAGTATGTATACAGATAGATAGCCCTAAGGCCTCATACTCTTATATCACACATATTTTTATAGTCCATGTAGCCTTTGACCTAATAGCTTTGTATTCCTTATAGCTATTGTAGCCATATCATCTTATTACCCTACAACTTATGGCCACAGTCCCTTGGGAACCTATGAATATCCACATACTATAGCTCTTCATGTCCTATAGTTATACCATACAATAGTCCTTGATTACTTATAGGTACCCCCCGTATGATAGCTTTTAAGGACCTATCGATACCCCATATAATAGCTGTTGAAAACATATAGATANCAAGTAAAGCACTCGATGTTGGTTCGAAAATCTATTGCTTCATTGGTGCTACAATAAGCACATCTTCTTCTTTTTGCTGTCACAGGCAAATGCATTTCATTGTCAAAACTGAGGACAGTTTTTGGTGATGCTAGTTTAGACTTCTTTTCAGAAGGAGGTCTTCCACGACTTATTCGTTCACTGCCGGAGCAGAGAGACTTCGCCAATGAAACCATGTAGTTTAAGTATGTTAACTTATCTTGAGCTAACTGATTATAACAAATGAATGAGTTGAATATAGATGCATTTAGAAAATAAATAAACATTCGCAGCCAGTTCCTTTTAGACTTGCGATCGAGATTGTAGCACGAGATTCTTTGGCTAAGTCGGTCAACTCCATGTGACAACTGATTGTAATCTTTTATTGCCTTTGGACAGTCAATTGTAATACGTTGACCATTTTTCAAACGACGGGAAATCGGAACAACTTCGTTGTCTTTATGATAATTTGAAGCCAAAAATACCTGTTTGGTGTCCATCCATATGAAGACAATGCTGTTCGATGTAATCATTGACTTGCAATCTCCTCGTTCCATTTTATTTTTCTTGGCAAAATCCGGCTGAATACCTGCTCGATCTGGTCTAATAGTTCCACAGGCTTTTATGTTCTGTAGCTTTAGCTTTTCTAATAAGCTGAGAGAGGTGAAAAAGTTATCGAAATATAGATGTTTTCCTTGGAAATTATGACCCGAGATAAGATCAAAAACAACACGTTCACCTAAAGCTGTTTCTTTTCCACTGGTTTCCTTTTTTCCTAAATAGATTTGATAGTTGAATAAATAACCAGTAATTGGATCGCATAAACACCAAACTTTGTAACCTCTTTTTATTGGTTTTAGAGGCAAATATTGCTTGAGGCTTGATCTTCCCTTGAATTTTATCATACTTTCGTCGATTGTACCATAGCGGCCAAACTTATAATTTTTTTGAAAATTTCTCCTTAAAATTTCAGTAAAATTCTTAACTTTGTAAATTTTACTGTAGTCTTTAGATTCTCGATTTGGTTCCAATGAGTTATCAGCCAAATGTAAATTATAAAAAATTTGAAGAAAGCGATCTCTCGACATGATCGAAGAAATAAATGTGTTATGGAATATCATATCTTTACTCCAATAAAGTTTCATATTTGGCAAGTTATTGATACCCATTAGAATAATCAACCCGAGAAACGATTCAATCTCTTTTTTGCTCACATCCTTCCAGTTACCGTTTTTTTTCTGATTGTTACTTCGTTTCTTTCCTTTTCCATAAATGTTTGTTTGGTCAGTAATTAGCTTTAAAATTTGTTCATCAAAAAAGTTTCTAAAGACTGAAACTGGAGTTAGTTCTTTGAGAGAGATTGAAGTAAATCCGCTATCCGTGATATAACTTTCATTCATTAAATTCAGCTCCTCCGCAAATACATCCAAATCTTCATCAGAAAGTTCGAGCTCATCTAAGTTATCGGCGAGTTCATCGTAATCGAAGTCGAAGTCACTCTCGCTAGTATCATCACTGGCATATGAATCATAAGACTCGCCCTCGAGTTCGTTATTTCCATAGAATTCCATTTGGCTAGTTTTTATTGTAAAAACGATATAAAGAAGTAAAGAGTGCAAGTTCGAAAGAGAAATTATATCCTTTGAAAATTCAAGAACAATGTAAATTCGTCAAGGAAAACGAGAGTATATATATACTTAACATAAAATGAGAACATTCTCGAAGAACAAAAG